GTGTGTGTGTGTGTGTGTGTGTGTGTGTGTGTGTGTGTGTGTGTGTGCGTGTGTGTGTGTGTATATACTCACATGTATACCAGCTCAGACTCACGACGCATGGCCAACTGCTTGTTTCTGATCAAGCTGAACCATTCGACCATAAGCTCATCCATGACAGAGTCATCTTCACCCTCTGTCACACACACACACAGACACACAATGTTAGACACACACACTTCTTCCTTTAAATCTGCATTTTTCTTTTACCTCAACACGAACACTAGAGATGTGATTTTCCTCACCTTCCTCGCTCCTGCGCAGCTTCATTTCCAGCTCGATTCCCGTCTTTTCCAGTTCGTTCAGATTGTTTTCAATTTCCCGAAGCTCTCTTATGATTTCCTCTGTGGGGATGAAGTCTGGTTTTGTCTGCACGTGTGACACAAATATATACAAACACAGCTGTTAAAAGAGGAGATTCTGAAGCAACACATGGAAAATAGCGAAAAAATCATTGATTTTTAACTACAGAAATCTACACCAGCAAATCTGAGGGATTACAACTCTTTTTAGTTTAAAGACTCTGGATAAACAGTCTGAGTTCAGATGAAAACACCATGTTTATCTAGATCACTGGATTATTGATGGTAGAACTGAAAAACAATTAAACTTCTGAAGCAAAGTTTAGTTTAGCGTCTAAGTGGGACTTTTGGTGAAAAAGTTTCAGCAGAAACTTTGGTGTAAACACAGCTGTCKGCAAAACAAACCTAAAACCATTACATTAAAAAAGGCTGGATTTTATCGACACAGAGAGAAAATACCTTCAGGATCGTCGACTCTGCCTTGGCGCCATTTCTCTTTGGCTCTTTTTGAGATTCTAAAAATAAAATTAAAATGTCAGAATAAAGACAACATAAACGCACGAAAACAAAAAGAATTAGCGTTTGTTTCATTTCATCTAAACTGAGCTAAACGGTTGTAGAGTTTGAGTTCTTACCCAGTGATGCTGGAGAAGTCGGAGTAATCCTGGAGCTGGAGGAAGGCCTGGTGGAAACCTTTGGCGTGTTTGTGGCTCCGTTAGCCGACGGTTTAGGAGAGGTCTGTGAAGAAGCCTGAGGTCTGTGGATGGATGGAAAGAAAAAAACAAAAAGACAGAAAGAGGGTTTAATCACCTGCTGTTATCAGCGCTCCTCTGTCTTTCTGCAGTTTTTTACTTTTGATTCATGGCTAAAAGGTGATGTGGGGGGAAGGAACTCTGAACAACGAGCATATGCTGCACCACAGAGAACCGACACCGTTTGGGGCTGACATGCGTGTGGCGGAAGAGGAGAGATCGGGGGTCTCTGACTGCAAATGATGGCCGAGCCATTTGGAGGAGCAGCGGGTACAGGCTTCCTGTGGGAGGACTGGATGGATGGATGGACCAGACATCAGGGGAAAAAAAAAAAAAAGACCTCCAACAATTAATGCTTCGTGATGTCAATATGCTGAGCACCCACCTACATACAGACGCCCCCCGTTGTTGTGGCAACAAGGACATGAGCCAACAGGAGAGAGAGCAAACCAGAAAGATGGTGGAGCCAGGAAAAAAAAATACAAATCAGTCAATACTTGAGTCAATACAACTCCTTACTTGGTGTCTTTGGAGACAGGTTTGAGCATCAACCTCCAGTCTGCAGGAGACTCATTTTCTAAAGAAAAGAAAGAGAAATAATGGATTTAGTTTCTTAAATCACATAGATGCTGCTTCAGTTCCTGTTTGTATTTTATGACAGAGATTGCAATATTAAAAAGGTCTGAATTCATATTAAAGTGGTTTTAAATAATAAAGATAATAAAAATTTTAAATAGAAAGAAAAAAACTGACAGGAAGCCCAAATAAAACCAGACGACTGATAAAATATGCATTTTGTGCTGAAGACTGACGTCAAATTGATGACAGGATTTTTAAACCTTGAACTCTTCAGAGCTGTGAGAATCTTAAATAATCATCATTATACATCTGCATCTGTTGAACTTCACGCACGGACGYTCCTCAGCTCTGAAACAAAATCATTTTCTGGACACAGGTTCTGATTCTGTAAAAAAGGACTTGTTTTTGGTGGGGTATTTACAAAGAAATGCATTATGYAGGCTGCCAGCTGTGAAAAGCTTGTGATCTAAAACTTGTAAAGCACAAATACAGAAAGAAATACTGTAAAACACACAGATTACAGTTACTACATGTTTTTATACTTTGAAAAATTAAGGTCAAATAATAATAGTTTGCACAAGTAAATAGAAGCAGCAAGATGTTTGTATTTGCTTCCCATGCATGAAGCCGTTTATTGTTTTGGACAGCAACTCACTGGGCTGCCACTGCTTGTGATTCTAAATTCTAAATTGTAAGAAAACAGAGACAAGGGGGAAAATTTTTGTTGTAGTCTCGTTAAATTCAGAGTATTTGAAATTATGGGTACATCCCCAGCTTTGTTTATTTCGTTTTCCTAGAAAGTCCGGTTCATTTGGTGAGGCGTTAATATGAGATCAAACTCATGTCCGCCTGCAAACCTTCGTTTCAGCCCAGCTGAAGTGAACTCTGATGCAGTTCGAATGCATGCGTGAATGCCAAGTGGACCGGGAAAGCACTCTACATGCAGGAAGTGGACTTTTTTGCAAGGCATTCTGAGTAAATTCAACTAAAACAAACGTGAGCTTTGCCAAGGACGAAAGAGAAATCCTACAAGCACTAAAATCTGTGTTAAAATCCGGTGATGAAGGAAGCTGCGCTCAGTTTCTTCTTCAGAGGTTTTCATTTCTTTTCCTTCAGGGGTTCTTGGTGCAGCGCCACCACAGGTGAGGGGGGCAAACTGCACCATTTGAAAATGTAACAACTGTTGCAAATTTGGATCCCAATTCAACCAAGTCTACTAGACTATCAAGTTTGAAGTCACCCTTTGTGACCAGTGAGTCGAATGGTTGAGTAGTTAGTTTTTGAAAAACACAGCTTGTTTTTAGGTGATTAACTTGCAAAACTGTCTAAATCCCACACTGTGTACCTGCACACACCTTGGAAGCAGCTTCCCACATTTATGATTGAATCTACTTGGAGTACACTTGTTAAATGAAAATAAGCTAATTTGAACCCGTTTTTAATAATTATCATTCATCATCAGAGTGGTCTTTAGACCTAGACATTCAGGCTGTAGTCTCAGATGTTTTTTTGTCAGAAGAAAGCTGCTGGGCAGGTTGAAACAAATGCTCTAAATTACACAGAATCTACAGCCCAAAACAACTTTGACTATTGTGAAAGAAAAATCTGTGGTGCAAACCTTTTTCAAGTGTTCAAAATTCAATTGAGACCCTTTAGAAAATCAGTTTAATTTAAAAAAATCAGTTTAATTGGCTTGTGCCAAGTTGAGTAGCCACTGTTTTGTTCATATTCAAACAGAAAGGTCAGACAGATTTACAGATTTTGCCAGTGAAGGTGTCAACAGTTTTGGTAAAGTAACTTGCTCAGTTATAAAATCACGTGTTTCACCTGATGTGTTGGCTGAGGTTTTGTCCACGTTTAACCTTCCTTTGTCTTGAGTCCTGTCTGCCAGTCCTCTCCGGCCAATCGGACTGGGAGAAGGCTTCCGGGGCTCCGGAAGCTGCAGGTCAGAGAGGATGGATGGGTCTGCCTTCAGCCTCACCCTGCCTCTCTCCTTCTTAGGCGTCTCAGCTTGAGCCGGAGATCTGAGGAGAAACTTAATTAATTAAATGCTACTCCTCACCAGCAGAGGTCAGGCTTATGTAGGGTTAAATCTAATCCCATTTGAGACTTCTTTACTTACTTATTATCCGTTTTCTTGAGAGCTACAGTTGTCCATGCTGGCTTATTGTTGTTATTGTTGGTCTCCTCAAACAGGTTTTTGGAGATAAAAGCTGCTGCTGAGGCTTTTGTCTCATTACTGTCAGAGTTTTCCTGTTTTGTCTTCACCCTGCCAGCCACAGCAGTCGTTTTAGCTGCGACTCCACCCTTATCCACATCGTTAACATTGATAACCACCGTTACAAGCTGACCTGGGAGGACTTCCTGCTTCTTACCAGTCACGGACGGACCTTTATGTACATCAGTGTTGAAGGTCGGCGTCTTTTTCTCTTCGWGATTAGATGTATGTTGAAGAAACTTTAGCTTGGCCTCTTGCGTCTTGGCCGCAGTGACGGAGGTAGAAGGAGCAGCCGTTGGAGCAGGGCTGATGGTGATGGTTGTGCTAAAGGTAGTGTCGTGTGAAGATGTGGGTTTGGACAGAAAACCTGTCGGACTTTTCTGCTCAGCAGGGCTCGGGGGTGATGCAGGCTGCAAAAATGGTGATGTAGAGACTGCATTGGAGCCTTTTGTGGTAGACTTATTGTCACGGGAAGCTGCAGGTTTGGACAGAAAAGCTGCTGGACTTTCTTTAGAAGCAGAACTAAGGCTTGATGAAGGTTTAGAAGGTGAAGCAGAAAATGCTTTGGTCCCTTTTGGGCTAAACGTAGTATCACGTGACGCTGTGGGTTTGGTCAGAGAAGCTGCTGGACTTTCTTTAGCAGCAGAACTAAAACCTGACGACAGCTTTGAAGAAGGTGAAGTAGGAAATGCACTAGAACCTTTYGTTGTAAAGTTAGTCTCTTGTGAAGCTGTGGGTTTGGTCAGAGAAGCTGCAGGACTTTCTTTAGCAGCAGAACTAAGGCTYGATGAAGGTTTCGAAAAAGGCGAAGTAGAAAATGCTTTGGTGTCTTTTGTGCCTAACTTGGTGTCATGTGAAGCTGCAGGTTTATACACAAATGCTGTTGGACTTTCTTTAGCAGCAGAACTAAGTCCCGACGAAGGCTTTGAAGAAGGTGAAGTAGAAAATGCACTAGAACCTTTTGTTGTAAAGTTAGTCTCTTGTGAAGCTATAGGTTTGGTCAAAAATGCTGTTGGACTTTCTTTAGCAGCAGAACTAAGTCCTGATGATGGTTTTGATGAAGGTGAAGTAGAAAATGCTTTGGCATCTTTTGTGCCTAACTTGGTGTCATGTGAAGCTGCAGGTTTAGACACAAACACTCTTGGACTTTCTTTAGCAGCAGAACTGAGTCCTGATGACGGCTTTGAAGGTGAAGTAGAAAATGCACTAGAACCTTTTGCTGCAAAGGTAGTGTCTGAAGAAGAAAATGCTTTGGAGCCTTTTGTTGTAAAGGTACTCTCCTGTGAAGCTGTGGGTTTAGTCAGAACAATTGTTGGACTTTCTTTAGCAGCAGAACTAAGGCCTGATGACGGCTTTGAAAAAAGTGAAGTAGAAAATGCACTAGAACCTTTTGCAGTTGATGGYGTCTCACATGAAGCTGCAGGTTTAGACACAAAAGCTGTTGAACTTTCCTTAGCAGCAGGAGCAGAGCCTGACGTGGGCCGTGAAGACGGCGAAGCTGCAAATGCGTTGGAGCCCTTCGTGGTAAAGGTTGTGTCACGGGATGCTGTTGGTTTGGACCCAAATGCTGTTGAGGTGTCCTTCGCAGCAGAGGAACCCGATAAAGTAGATAATCCAGCGGGGCCATTTGAAGGGGTGTCAGATGTCTTTGTTAACCACGATGATCCCACTGTCGACGGCGTGGGAGCCGGAGTTACTGTGTTAGCCTTACTGGGCTCTGGTTGAGGACTAAACTTGGAAATATAACTGTTTGCTGTTAAATCCCGAAGAGGCGAACTTGTGTTTGATGGTAGCAACCTGAAATACACAAAACATAATGATGAAATTCTTCAGCAGCTTCTATGTTCAGAACTAGGGATGCACTGAAATGAAAATTTCAGCCGATATCGATATCCTATATTATTATTGGTGTCAAACAGATACCACCTGACCAACCATCTCCCCTCCCAAACCAGAAACACAAAGCTAAAAATTGGGAAATCATTATTAGACATTAATATCGGCCCAGTTATCAGACCGATACCGATGTTAATGCCAATATATCGTGCATTCCTATTCAGAACTGCTGTTTCAAATTTAATGTTGTTGAAACATCCATAAATATATGTTAAAAAAAGAGSTACTAGCTTAGAGTTAGCTTGTAGAGTAATGTGAGACTCCAAGTATACAACAAAATGTATTTAACAGCTAAAAAAAAAAAAGGGGTTTGCATATGTCCCCTTTAATCATCTTACGAGTGTCCTTACTTTGCACAGTTCCTGTGATACAGCTTCCCGTCCACTAGATGTCGCTGCACCAAGTGTACATGTTGGTTGCATGACGTACATTTGTTGCTCAAGGTGCCGGTCTGATTGGATTTCCCAACATCCTGCAGAAGAGAAAGAAGACAGTGTACAAGGGGAAAACTTCAGACCTCAGTATGCTTGGCATGGTCAAAGCAATTATTATTTCTAATTATTAAGGTTTATTTTTAATTAGTTTGACTTAATGAACATCATTTTAACCTTTTGTCAGCAAATCTTCAACTTAATCAAATTTTTAGACTTTAGGCATTGCAATAAATCATGCATTCTGGTAATTGTTTTATCGTTTTGATGCAGCAGTTTTTACCTGTGTTGAATTTCTGACGGATTTCGGTGAAGAAGAGGGTCTTGTGATGTTGGAAGAACGAGGAGGACTGTTTTCTCTGGTGGGTTTAGAAGTGCCGAACACCTTAGATGTGACGGGTTGGTTCTTCTTTCCAGGTGGTTCGTCGGTGACGGGCTCCGCTGGACGCTTTATCCCTCCCATACCCCCAACTGTGTGCAAACACAAACAGAGATGATACAAGGTGGAGGTGGATAAAAGCAGGGGTGGGCACGACAGTGCAGCGTTTTAATACTCACTGGGAGAGCGTCCGTGGAAGTAGTTGTAGTACTGAGAGACATACGTCAGAATACTGAGTCGGTCGGGAACCCTTAGAGCCACCATGTCTTCTGCGTCCAACAACGCCGGAATTCCCAGTTCTTCTTCTGCAACCTTGAAGGCCTGCAGAGAAAGATCACGTTTCATCCATCWCATTTCTTTACCTGCTTCTCCTTCCCCGGGTCATGGGGAAGCTGCCACATCTCCAGCAGTCACTGCACCCCAGAGGAGTCGCAGGTCCATCAGACCCCCAGAAGGACCAACAACTATTTGTACTCTCACTCACACCKGGTGGAAACTTAAAGTTACAAATTAACCTAATGTGCAGGAAACCAGAGTACCCGGAGAAAAYCCACACATGCAAAGTTTTGATATATCCAAACACTATACACCTTAACTAAAATGTGAAACTCTATTTGCTTTACTTATTTTATATGTTTAGTCATGACTAGCACTGTGTCATCAGTTCCATAGAAAGAAAAAATGTTATTTACACTGATAATAAAAACTTGGATTACATTCTGTAAAGTTCAGAGCTGATTTAAAAAACAGAAAAAATAAATCCCAACATACTTCTGACTTGACTCARGTCCAAGGAAGTATAAAAAGAGAAAGTAAAAAGAAAACAAGCAGAGGCATGCCAGCGATCYCATCATTTATAACTTAATCAGTAATCTGATAACCAGACCCATATAATCTCTGTCCTTTCTCACTTTCTTACAAAGGGCCACAGTTTGAATAAGCTAACCAGCGCTCCAGATTAGGTTCTGATTAATTTTTTTAGGTTGCAGGGTTGAATCGTTTTGTCAGCCTAAAAAGTTCAAAGTCCAACCCAACACAATATTCTGGGCAGAAAATGAAATGAAAATATGTAACCAGGGAGCCAAAAATCTGAACATGCCCACATTGAAATGCTCTCTGTTTGGCAATAAGTTATGTGAGTCAACAGAGCACGCTGCTTTTGCAATATCCACACGTGTCTTGTGCCTTAACACTTTTCAATCAACCGATTTGTTATTTCAAGTTTAATTTATCAAACTTTTCTTTAAGTAAAATATTTTCTGGGCAACAACTATAATTTAGCAGTTTACAAAAAGCCTTTTATACAGATGGAAATATGTGGTTAGTTAATTAAAATTCATTTTAATTTTGAGGTTGAAGGGAAGACGGAAGACATCTAACTGATTAAGCTTAAGTGAGTGGGTTGTTAACAGGTTTCTACACAACTTGATGACACACTGAACAGGTAATGAAGCTATTTAAATGAGGTGTGTTAGAGCAGAGACTAATCCAGAAGAATCCAGAACAACCAGGACAATGTGTCCTAAGGCCAGGGTTGTTCTGGTTTAAACAATTAAATCACTTCACAGATATTATGACAAAATACGATTAGCAGCGTGGAGTGAGAAAGCACCATGCAGTACCTACATGAAAGACAGTCAAAGCCTATTTATGACTGATTACTTTTAAAGAAAAATAAAGAGCAGGGCACATTTACTACACACAAAACACAACAAAAAAGTTTACCAATATTGTAAACATCACAAGCACTAATGTACCCCCATACCATCAGCAAGGCATGCTTTTAAACTGTGTGCTGTTATATGCTGGGTGGTCCCTTTTCTTTTTTTCCAGCATAAATAATGTGGTTTCCAAAAAGATATTTTTATGTATTTTTTTTTTTACAATACATTAAGAACAAACATTATCAACAGGTGTGCAAATGAATAAAACAAACAAACACTAAACACCAGGACAGACCAAAATTTTGCTGGTTTTAAGACTGGTGGAATTATGAGTAGTTTGGGGAGTAATGGTAATTTGCGAGTAGCCTATTGCACACAAAAATAAACAAATAAATAAGCAAGAATAAATAAATGGAAAAAATAATCAGCTGGATGAAGGGACAGTTAAATAAATAGAGACATGCCAATCAAAAGCAAGATTTCAAAAATGCATAAGAATTCATGAAATGACTAAAGT